CTTCAGCCATATTGCCTCCTTCGACGCTTCGCTTGCTGCGATGTACTCTGATTCGCACGTTGAATCAGCTACGGTTTCCTGCTTGGAACTTTTCCATGTCACTGCTCCTCCATTTAGGGTAAAGACCCAGCCCGACTGCGAACGATAGTTGTCCCTGTCGGTTTGAAAGCTGGCGTCACTATACCCTCGCACCTTCAAGTCATCACTCCCTCCAAGGACTAAGAACCATTCTTTCGTTCTCCGAAGGTACTTAAGGATGTTCTTCACCGCAATCCAATGTGCTTTGCCAGGGTTCCCTTGATATCTGCTAACCATGCTCAAAGCGAAGGCTACATCAGGGCGAGTACAAGTCATAGCGTACATGATTGAGCCAACTGCGGAAGCGTATGGTACTCGGCTCATTTCTGCTATCTCAGCTTCGGTACTCGGACTTTGAGTCTTACTCAACTTGGCATTTCCTTGTATCGGTAGTTCTCCCTTCTTTGAGTTTTCCATACTAAAACGTTTTAGTACCTTCTCCAAGTAAGTATTCTGACTAAGTCCAATTAGTCTCTTACTTCTTTCTCTTACTATCCTTATTCCCAAAATGTAAGAAGCCTCTCCGAGGTCCTTCATAGCGAAGCACTTCCCGAGCCAGGACTTAACCTCCTGCAGAGTCGGGATGTCGTTTCCTATGAGTAATATGTCATCGACATATAGAACGAGGAAGCTTACTACACTCCCACTGGCTTTGACATATACACAAGATTCGTCTTCGCTTCGTACAAATCCAAACTCTTTGACTTTCTCATCGAAGCAAAGATTCCATCTGCGAGACGCTTGCTTAAGTCCATAAATGGACTTCTCAAGCTTACACACTCTATTCGGATGCTTCGGATCCACAAACCCCTCTGGCTGAGCCATGTAAACATCCTCAGCCAACTTTCCGTTAAGGAAAGCGGTCTTGACATCCATTTGCCAAATCTCATAATCATGAAATGCGGCAATTGCTAGCATCACTCTAATAGATTTAATCTTCGCAACTGGTGAGAAGGTCTCATCATAGTCAACTCCGGGAGTTTGAGTAAAGCCCTTCGCAACCAATCGCGCTTTGTATGTGTGTACGTTCCCATCCACGTCGGTCTTCTTCTTGAAGATCCACTTGCACCCTACGGTCTTACGTTCGGGCACGTAATCAACCAAATTCCAAACTTGGTTATCGTACATGGATTGGATCTCGCTATCCATCGCCTCTTTCCATTTCGCAGACTCCGGGCCTGCCATGGCTTCCTTATAGCTATTAGGTTCATCAAGATTTACTAGTGTACCATCACTAATATACGTGTCCCCTTCGGTAGTAATATGAAAACCATAAAACTGGGGTTGAACTCTAATCTATCGGAACGTCTAAGAGGTAAGGATTCGTCAATCGGTTCAACCGGAGTTTCCTCCTCGGGTTGAACGCCAGCGGTAGAGGTTCCTTCATCTATCGATTCTTGAATCTCTTCAAGTTCGATTTGCCTCCCACTGTCTCCTTGGCTTATGAGTTCTCGCTCTCGGAAAACTCCTCTCCTCGCAACAAAGATAACATTATCTTTCGGTCTATAGAAGAGATATCCAAAGGAAGTTTGCGGGTAGCCGATGAAAATACATCGCTCACTTCGAGGTTCAAGCTTGTCGTGAGTATCTCGTCTTACGAAAGCCTCGCAACCCCAAACCTTGATATGTGCCAACGAGGGAGCTTTCCCCGTCCACATCTCGTGAGGTGTTTTGGCAACCTTCTTAGTAGGGACTCGGTTAAGGATATGGGCGGCAGTCTCTAAGGCATACCCCCAAAAGAAGATAGGTAGTGAAGCACGACTCATCATAGAGCGAACCATATCCAATAAGGTTCGATTACGCCTTTCTGCCACACCATTCAACTGCGGTGTCCTAGGAGGCGTCAATTGCGAAACTATTCCACACTCCTTGAGATAATCGTGGAATTCAAGACTTAGGTACTCTCCTCCTCGATCGGATCGAAGCATCTTGATTTTCCTGCCCAATTGATTCTCCACTTCATTCTTGAACTCTTTGAACTTTTCAAAGGTTTCTGACTTTTGCTTGATTAAATAGATATACCCATATCTACTATAATCATCGGTAAAGGTCACATAGAAGCGGTTCCCATCCTTCGTGGTTGATCTAAAAGGTCCACATACATCGGTATGTATTAGGTCTAATAGTCCCTCACCCCTTTCACAAGTACTCGTGAAGGGTGACTTAGTCATCTTTCCAAGTAAACAAGACTCGCATGTGTCATCTTCCCTAAGGTCGAATGACTCCAACACTCCATCCTTTTGGAGTTGGGCTATGCGTTTCTTGTTGACATGTCCAAGACGACAATGCCACAAGGATGCTTTATCCATACTAGTGGAAGAATCAATATTCAAAACATCATTTCCTAAGTTATCAACAATCATAACAGTTTCATATATTCCATTACATGGTATAGCTTCAAATAAAAGACACCATTTAGATAAGCCAAAATAGAACCATTCTCATTATTAAAAGAAAATCTAAAACCTTGTCTATATAAACCATGAAATGAAATGATGTTTCTAGCCATTTCTGGCGAATAGCAACAATTGTTCAAATCTAAAACTAAACTATTCTTAAGCACTAAAGAATACACTCCAATCTTGGTCACAGGCGACGATCTTCTGTTCCCCATGATTAGATTGATCCTTCCTTGCTCCACATCCCTACTTCTTCTTAGTCCCTGCACATTAGAACAAATGTGATAACCACAACCGGTGTCAAGAACCCAAGAAATAGCATGATTAGAATCGTTAGATTTATTGCATATATACCTGCGAAAGATGGCTTGATCTTTCCTTCCTTGATGGCTTGCAGGTATCCGGGCAGCTTCGCTTCCAATGTCCTATCTTGTGGCAGTGGTGGCACTCTGCCTCCTTCGGGTTAGAGCAGGGCTTAGAGGGATCAACTTTGTCCCACTAGAAGAGGAACCATCTCGGGCTTTCACCTTTCGATAGTTATTTGAAGAAGCTTTCCTCTTCTTTCCCTTCCCTTGACCAATAGCCAAGACAGGAGCAGCAGACGGATTGGGAGTTGGTGCAACAGACTTGTCCTTGAAATTGCTCTCAGCAACCCTCAAGAGACCTTGGAGTTTACTTAGAGTGACCTCCTCTTTGTTCATGTGGTAGGTCATCCTAAATTGATTATACATCGGAGGCAAAGAGTGAAGCACCATGTCGATCGCCAAGTCTTCGCCGAAGTCAACATTTAACTTGCGAAGGCGGTCGACATACCTTTGCATCTTTTGCAAGTGCACGGTAAGAGATTCTCCATGACCCATCTTAGCGGAAATCATGTTAGTGAAGATCTCGTAACGCTCTTGTCTCGCGTTTTGGTGGTACCTCTCCAACAAGTCTTGATGCATCTCGTATGGATACATGTCCTCGTAGGACTTTTGGAATTCGGAGTTCATGGTGGCGATCATGATGCAATGTACTTTCGTCGCATCTCGCTCATGGTTTCAAAGGCGGTGATTTCGGCGGGAGTAGCAACTTCGGGGTTGATTTTCTCGAGCTTCTCGTCGAGGACATACTCTTTATCCTCATAGCGAGCAATGGTGCGAATGTATCTTATCCATTCGCCAAAGTTCGTTCCATCGAAGGTGACCTTTTGGCAAAGGCTCATCAACGTGAAAGAACTAGCAGCAGCGTTGTTTGCGTTTGACATCTATAGAAAGGACAAAGATAGATTAGAACAAGAATCCCTAATTATCACCCAATAAGAAAAATTAGGGCTAGGATCCAACAATAACATTTACATACTAGAAAAGGGATGCCGTAATCAACATGCAAATAAATTGAAGGTAAGTGAATGACGATTCACTAATTCTCCATCACAAAACTTAAACTTTTAGTCCTAAGTGTTTTTGAGAATTCCTAGGTTCGGATGAGATTCATTGAACTATTCAATGGCATGTTTAAATCTCGATATGCCCCTCTTGTTTGTGACTGGGATGCCGAGGATCACAAAGCGGGTGTGAATTACCATGCAAATTTACATGGTGCCTTCATTGTTACGATCACCTATTCGATGTGCCGGTAAACCACACACGCTCCATCGAACTATGATAAACAATGAATCACCCTTTGCCACCTTCGCTTAGAACCAATTAGTGTGCCGGTAAACCACACACGCTCCACTAACATCTTAGCAAGGTGCAAAGTGTAATTTCATGGGATTGCATCAATTCACTTTTCCTAAAGTAACTAAGATTGGGAAATTTTAAAAAAAGTTTAGTTACTTCGTATTTCTTATTATACTTTTAATGAGAGGATGAGGTTGCCCTATCCTACCCGTTCGGCTAACGACCCTCCACCAATCAAGCAAGCGGTGGGTGTGAGTGTACACCCATTAAGCGCCATTTTATAGGCCGCAACCTTATACCCACCTTATAGATCGGCTTCGTGAATGAGGCCTACTAGCGGTAAGACTAGCATTTAGTTATACATATATATATTATTCTAATAATATCATATAAGTATAGGGTTGTATTTTAAACTTTTCAAAATCTAGGGTTTGAAATTTAAGTTGTCTAAATTAAAGCTTTTAATCACAAATATAAATTTCAAAACTATAGGGTAGGTTTTAAACATTTAAAACATGGAGGATCAAATAACAAATAATTTCAATTAACAATTAATATCTTAATTATCTTTATTTGATTTATCTTTGATTTCTTTGGATAATTACCAAAAATAATCAAAATAATTAATTAATTATCATATAAGGAAACTAAATATTTAATTAGTTGATAATTACCTTTAACTAGATCAAGATAACACTTATATTTATCAAAAAATCGGATTCATATTGATCTAATTAGTTTATGGAAAGTTTGGATAAGATAAACACAAAGAAATCCCGAATCTGGCCTTCCTGACGCTTGGACTCGCCGAGTGCACAAGGGGACTCGCCGAGTCAGGCCTACTCGACGAGTCCACCTTGGAACTCGACGAGTCAGTGACTCAAAACCCAAAAATCGAATTTTGCAGGTTTGTTTCAGTTATTCAAGCAACAATTTAAAGAAAACCAATCTAGGCTCTGATACCACTGTTGGGTTTTAGCCATAAGAACTTTCCTATGTGCGCATGCAAAACCCTATTGCTTGGATCTAGGCTTTCTAATAAACATGCTTTTGAATCCAAGACTTCTAATGGCTAATTAGGTTAAACAACAACATTAAAACAGATCTAGAATCATACCTTTGAGTTCCTTGTTGATCTTCTTGTCTTGGAGCTTCTAGAGTCACAATTGTCACTCCTCTAATGGCTTACAAACACCAATAGCAAGCAAGATGATTTAGGAGAGAGGAGAGGGGATGGAATTCGACCAGAGGTTCCTTGCTTTAGGTTCTGAAAGGTTGTACGAATTCCACACCCAAGGGCCTATTTATACTTGTAGACTCCTTAAGGGTTTCACCTTAAACCCTAATTGGATAATCTTCACTTAAGGCTATCCAAATCCATTCCATAGATATCCTTATGGACTATTTTGAGCTATCCTAAAGCTCTTAGAAACCGTCCAAAGTCAATCCTAATGGATTTATAGTCCAAAGTCTAACTATCAAACAATTGACAGTTTATACCCTCTTATTTAATTAATCTCTTTAAGTCACCAAATTAATACCAATTAATTTATGACTTATATTAATCAAATAGCTAAATATTATTTCTTATAATATTTACTCTCTCTTAACAAATCATCCTTCAAGTTGCTATGATGAAGGCAACCCAAAAGGACCATGCACAACCGAATATAGTTATAGCCTTAGACACTATTCCAACAATATCTACATTACCCACATCCAAAAGGGCCTAAATATTACCTTTTAAAAGGCCCTAATCCTTATGATGACTGCTCTTCGGTCCACAACCTCGGATATTCAGAACATGGCGTTACAATTTTTGGAATCAGCACGACCTGAAACTAAGCAAGACCTTTTGGAAAATTTATATAATATGTGCGAAGCCACGAGAATTGAGCTATACATCATGATAAATAAATATATATATGAAATTTATTGTAGTTATTATAGTGAAAAACGTTTATAAAAAGTATAATGACAAGGCCACTATATATATGTGTGTGTGTGTATATATATATATATATATATATATATATATATATATATAATATATATATGTATCGTATGCGACTTCAAGAGATCCAAATTCAGGGCCGGCCCGTGGGCATGTGCAAGCTGGGCGACCGCCCCGGGCCCCCAAATGCTACAGGGCCCCAATTTTTAACTTGTTATTTTCCATTACTTTTTAACCTATTGGACTACTTCAAACCCCAATACTCTGATCATGAACTAATCCAAAAGATGGAGCATGGGAGAAAACCAGACTTACCTGGCGTGCGTCCTAATTCCAAGGCGTCGTAACTCTTCAACAGTTAAATTTCTATAGAAAATCCAAACATTGCCATGGAAAATCCAAACGACGTCTTCTCCAAAAGCAAGAGTTAACGATCATTCTTCTATTTCTTATTCAAGATTTCAAGTTAATCGATTTCTTTCATTCTTTTCTGATTTTCTGAATTCGTCCACAACAACCATTAGTGAATCGAATGTTATTTTAGAATTGAGAGACTAGTGTCTCGTCCTTTTCACGATTTTAGAAAACGGGAAACTCTATTGTTTCCCTTCTTGTTGTCGATTTCCTTTTTCTGATATAGCATCAATGGGAAGTTAATCAGGTTATTTGATTTATTTTAGGAATCTGGCCTAGAGATTTGAATCGAGAGTTCTAGTCACCGCCTCAATTGGATTTCTTTCTCAATTGCTAGAAATTTGAAGGTTCAGTTTTCAGAATCGATTGTTAGAGGTGAAATTGATTTCTGATAATATGACTGTGAATCTCTGTATGTTATATCGCCCTTGAAATTTCTTATTCTTTTTTGAAATTCGATTTTTATGAGGTTGTTCAAGTTAGAGACATAATCAAATGTTAATATTTTTAAGTTAGAAACAGTTCTTGAACTTCATTGCTTAATTTCGATTTGTAATGTTAATATTCTTATTTTTTATTTATGAATGTTACTCTTTTTTATTTCTATTTCTATGTTTTTGATATGTACAAAATTTTCTCTTGTTGTATTGTTTTTTCAACTACTTCCAGGATATTAACAACAGCAAGTATTCTGGATTTAAGCAATTCACCTAACAACTTTTTACCGATGATAAATCTACTTCAGTTAGAGGTTAACAACTTACGTAAAGAAACAGAACTGAACAAGTTAATGAAGAAACAAAGGGGATGAGACTTTAGTATTTTTATACTTCTAATAGCATTGTACTTTTAGTTTTCCCCATTTTATGGTGTACGAATTTAAATGTATTGTTATGTATGTATAAAATAGTGTAATATACGAATACGCAAAATTTTCAAAAGGGCCCCATTTTTTTATTTTGCCCCGGGCCTCCAATCGTCTTGGCCCAGCCCAGTCCAAATTAGTCGTGTAATCAACATGGATATATGTTATATAATTAAAATTATATAACAACACTATATATATATATATATATATATATATATATATATATATATATATATATATATATATATATATATATATATATATGTGTGTGTGTGTGTCATCTAACATTTCCAAATACCAACAAATAGTATTTATGTATAAATATTCAATTTTTTTATATATATTAGAGAAATCTCTGAAAAAGTCCCAATATTTTACCCTAATTTACAAAAAAGTTTGAAACTAAAATTTATTTACGAAAAAGTCTCAATTACCGATAAAATGAAGATTTTGTCCTATTTTACCGGTTTAATTACTTACCCGGTTTTAATAAAGTCCTTTTTTTACCGTAATTTACAAATAAATCCTAAATTATGGTAAAATAATCAGACTTTAATGAAAATTATGGTAAAATAATAGGAATTTAATGAAATCTAGGAAGTATTGAAACCGATAAACAGGAAAAAATGATCAAATCGTCATTTTATCCGGTAATCAGGATTTTTCATAAACCAATTTTTGTTTGGAACTTTTTCGTAAATTAGGGTGAAATATTAGAACTTTTCCGAAGATTTCTCTATATATTATAAACATACATGGAAAACTTTTAATATGAAAGTGTGAATATTATGTATGTATTATTGTTATAAAATGTCTCCGACCAATATACACATACATACAATAAGAGTGTATATTAAATTGATCAAGAATAGACATCCCTACCAATCAATGAATTCATTCACAGATACACACATACATAGAATACATAATTATTGACCAAATATAATTTCTCAATAATAAATATCAAATCAAACAAATACACACATTACATACATAATGAAACCAATATATTATACAAAATACATAAATAATTAAACAAATACATCACACAAATACATGAATGATAAAAATCAATACATTGTTGCAAAGTTAAAATCAAATACACCTCCGAAATTGACAACCAAAGCAAAATGAAACTTATGCACTTTACCAATGAATTGCACAACTTTGAGTGTTCAGTTAAGTAAGAGAAAGCCTACAAGTTTTCCTTAACACTATTCAATTAATCCTACTACATCGTACCAGTCCAGAGATGGGTTGCTTGCTGCCATTCCCTTTCATTAATCGTGCAAGAGAAACGAGAACAACACGCCAACATCTTCTGATCACCATCTTCTTCATTCCCTGTCAAAAAACCAAAGCCCAAACACACACTTAGGATCATCCATTGCAATCAACACACAAAAAAGAGGGGCAAACAAAACATCCTCGATCGATCATTCTGCCAGTGTCATCACCCTTTGGATTGCATGCATAAAAAAAATAATCATAATAAAAAATTAAAAAAAAAAAATTTAAAAATGAATAAGAGGATTACCGTTTGCTACTTCGTCCTTACCCTTCAATCCACCTATTTCCCATTTCCTTCGTGTTTACTTCCGATCGAACCAGGAGAAGAGCAACCAAGAACAGCCACCCCAAACCATCAATCTGAAACACCTTGAATCTCTTACCCTTTTCGCCCATCACACCATTCATCTTTTCCGTTGAGCTCCACTGCCGAAATCCCAGCCGCTTCGCTGCTTTCCCCTCTCTTCGGCCCATCGATCCCCGAAACACCGCCTTCGCAAGAAATCGACTCCCCAAAACCCCCTGATTAGTCGCTGCGAGCTTCCTCTTGCCTTCGGTCTTCTTCGTGGTCTGCAAAGACCGAAGAACCGGAAGCAACGCCGCTACCCTCGTACGCCTCTTCCCCCGCCGCTTCGATCCTTCTCTTATTCGGCCTCGCCAAACACCCGGAGACGACATCCTCCTTCGCGATCGATCGATCAAGCAAATCTGGATTGAGCAGCTTGAGAGCCTCCATCTCCCGTCTTCGTTCACTGCTTTAGCATTCGATTTGTATCCCCTTTTCCTTCATATGCCCAAACGAATAAAGAAAACGAAAACACTGAATGTATATTTAAGCCCTAATTTCATTTAGTGTGTGAAAGGACCAAAATGCCCCCACTGTTAAACTCTTTATTCAAAATCAGTCCCAACCCCAATTATTGAATCCATTTTTTTAAAACAACCCCTCATTTGGTATTTTTTTAACCAAAAAAGTCCTAACTATTTAATTAAATTACCAAAAAGCCCCTATACTTTAGCAAAGTAACAAATTAGTCTCCAACAATTCAAATTGTTTACGAAATGGTCCCGAGAGTATTTTAAAGTCATAATTGTGGATTTACGGTTTCTCACGTCAAACATCTCAAAGTAACCGTATTCGAACGATTGGAACTCACGCTTCGGGGGTGAGTGCTTACGACCCATTTTTAATATTTTAATTATTTAAGGGGAGGGGGGATACATTTGTCTAAGTATTTTTTTTTATACAAGTCAATAATCTTTTTATGCGAAAATACAATAAATCTAATTTTTAAAAATATTGTTATTTAACAATTTACTATATTGTTACGAATAAACTAGTATAAATTTTCTGTATACGTATTATGATTATTTTATCATGAAATAACCATTTCGCACAACAAATACTATACGGTACAAAATTATATGATTTTTATATGACATTGCATATTATAACAAGCATGTTATGAAACTCTGTAGTATTTCAAGGATTCAAGCTATTACTATACATGTTTATTTATATGTTTAAATACAAAACGTTTATATATGTACCTATGTTCATTAATTTGAAACATTCATTTTTATAAAAGCGAACATATCACACTTTTGCAAACATGTCAACATACTTGGCTTTTATAAACCACATACAACGATATTCATTATGCCTAGTGACTTAATCACAATTAAATTAGGGTTGAGAGCTATTAACAAACTTTTTAGTTAAGGGCTTTTTAGTGAGACGTTATTCATTAGCTGAGTCTAAACAGTTAGCATACCCACATTACTATAACCATCAACCTTTGAAGTGAGATACATATGTATACATCTATACGGGGTTGACATACTATGACATCCCCCAATTTCTCGACCATAAAAAATCAATTTAGTTTATGCTTTTAAAATAAAATTAGAGTAATCTTCCAAAACATGTTGCGGAATTTGTTCCCAAAACAAAATATAATAAAAATTTATCAAAGTATTTCTTTAAAGAAATATATTTTCATTATATAATAAAAAAACTCGGGATGTCATGTTCCAATACAGGCCAAAAGCATAAACAACAAATTATAGACCTTACAACAGATATTTACATCTAATTATCTATAATTCAAAAATCCATCTTCATCATTCAACTATGTTTTGAGTCCACTACCTGTAATATAAAAAGCTGAGTGGGTCAGGCTTGGGAGCTTGGTGAGCTTATAGGGTTTTTAACCCACAAATAATAAATTTATTAAATTCATCAACAAAAATAAATTTATTAATTTCATCACTCAACAATAAATTTATCAACCCAAAATAAATTTATTAATTTTATCAACCAACAATAACCTTGATTACCCGTTCCCGTTATCCTTACTTTACGTCCCTAAACACCTATCACAAGGGACCTAGCCTACGGATCATCATCGGGATGGACACAACTACTAAGGGGATTCCTGAGCCATACGTGTCCTTAAGGCAACCGTAAGGGGGATGGAGTACACCAACGAACATATAGTTCACCAACACTTACAGGTTGCGAGCCTGCTAGCGTTCCACTAGACTGTCTAGAAAAGTCTGAGGTCGTCATCTATACTCCGCTAGATGACAACAATAACAACAACATCAAGGCATTTAATCATTTTAACACACACCAACTATTTCATCTACTCATGTTATTTGTTGATAAAAAAATACATATGCAGTTTAAATCATTTTAAAACATGTATAAAACATTCATTCAGCACTCATCTAAAATTAACAAACAATATAATTACACATAGCACGTGTTTTATATAAAATACTTCATCTCTATGTGTAAGATGAAAGTCACTATACATTCACCTTAGTAGCGTGACTGAATAGAATTTAACTAGACACTGTCGGCATTAGCGATCGTCGGCTTGTGAAAACAGCTCAAATTTAGCAATACGGGAGAGAGGTTGCATTTTTGTGTAAACCGAAACAAGAGCGTTGGCCCTCTATTTATAGGTCAAAAATTCGAATCTCATGTCGAGAGCCATATAAGCTCATGTTGTGAGTTCGTCCGGATCAGCTCGTAGGCTTGTCGCTTGTGTTCTAGGCTTGAGAGGTTTCGATCAACTACCTCACTTCATGAACCATAATTTATTCACGTCGTGAGTTTTTTCAGGACTCGAAGTTTGTGCTCCGAACCTCAAAAATTCATATCCTTAGCATATGAACTTCGTTTTTAATGTTCTCTATATCCACGTAGAGGTGAAATTAAGCTCTACAACTTTCGTTTAGACTTCGTCAGCTAATTTTGATTTATTTATAAAGTTATATTTTTAACAGATCGGGACAGGAAAAGTCCGTTAAAAATTCGTTTCTTCATCCGACGTCCGTTTTCGTCTGTATTTTTACCGTTGAACCACTATCAACAAGATCTTCAATTCTCATTTAGGTTGTTTCGGTTAAAAATCACTCGATCTAAAAGTCGAGTTTCGGGTTGCATACTGCTATGCCAAATCTTAGAAAATTCATAACTCTCTCATACGAAGTCAGATTTGGACATTCTTTTTATGCACGCTCTCGGTTTAACGAATACTACGACTTTAATTTAGGTCGTTAAGGTTAGCAAGTACTTTATCGTAAATTCACTTTTTACGTCACACAGCGTTGTGTCGGTTCTGTCGCAAAACTTCGACAGGTCATAACTTTTTCATTATAACTCGGATTTCGATATTTTTTTATATCTTCGGAATCCTTGTTTCAACCACTACAACTTCATTCTTAGATATCGAGATTATCTAATATTTATTTTTTACGCTTATTTTTATCCTTAATTCATTACATTATAATAATTAAGCAAATAAGCACATAATTCGCATAATATTCACATAATTCCTCTTTATTACTTTAAAACGAGTTACAAAGGTTAACCTAGACTACCACATCATCTTTAGTGCTTAGCTTAGAAACACGGTCATTACACATGCCCACTTACGGTTGCTAGCTACAACCTCGACGATCAATCGAAGCAGGTGGTAGGTGTCTACAGTAGTCACTACAGCGTCCAATGAAACGTTGTTGGGGGGGGGGTACATTTTAGTCACATAGCTCGATTATAGAACTCACTATAAACATTAACTAAAATATCTCTCCCTTTCACTACAACCATGGGCTTGGTTGCTTTCAAAACTATTTGAAGTATGGAATTACTTATGTAATAGTACTATTTAGTTTTCAAGGATATTCAAATATTCTTTACAAACACAATTTTTTTTAACTATGGATTTACTTATACAAAAATACATTTTGGGTTTTAAAGACTTATTGCAAACACTGTTTGAACTATTGTTATTTATACAAAGATAATACTTTTTGGACTTTTTAAAAGTATTATTGTGGTTAGCAGAAAATCTGTAACTCTCACCAACCTTGTGTTAACCCTCAAAACTACATGTATTATCAAAAAATCACTAAACAGACATTCAAGATGGATTAGATTACAGGTGACCTAGTTTACTTACTATTGTATTATATGCCTATCTGTTGAGGCAATTCATGTATCATTATTATAAGTAAAAACCATGTATTCAAATATCAAGATGGAACTCGAATGTTATTTTGTTTATTGTTGTACTTGTGCTATATATTCAGTTTACCTATGATCCATGAACTTAGTCGCACAGCCCGATGTGTTCCGCCACCTTAGTCAGGGTTGTAACAGATTGGTATCATAGCTAAATTGGTTGTAGATAACTCATATCCTCGAAAGAGGAATACAACTATAGCAACTAGCTTCTAATAAAAGTATTATAATTATTATTAATTACACTACTTGGCTACTTACGGTATGAGGTATCTTGTTTGAAATGTCACTTGGGTTGTTGTATTCCAGAATGGCTTAATTGCTAAAATGGTCCTACCTACCAGTGTTTCCTGTCTAGCCCTTGTCTTTAATTCGTAGTCTTGGAGTACAAAACAAAATTTAATAATCCTGAAAACCTCACCAACAATAATATATATATATATATATATATATATATATATATATATATACTCTGACCCACGATGAGAACACTTAATAAAACTCTAACATGCCTCCAACTAAAACTACCAACTCATCCCTTTAGGTCAAAAGCCTCAACTAAGGTTAGTAGCATACATAAGCCATACCATAAATAAACCTGGAACATATGCCTATGTTATTTATGATCGGGCTGGTGCACAACCAACCTTGAGCAAGAAGTATGGCATACTACAATGGTTGAAAGTTTTAGAGATTGAAGGACGTTCTCAAGAATCACTGCAGAAACTAGTACCTTAAAAACCTTATATCAACCCCAAAATAAAATATACATTTTAAAAAATAGTTAAAAATATGGGATGACATTCAAATTTTCCTAGTTAGCCTAAACCCAAAGAAGAACAAAGAATGAATAGCTTTGCTACCGTCGTAGCAGAAATCCTATAGTTCCCAATTGATCATTCAGTAGTCTCCAAACTTCTCCCTTTATCATGTGAAATCGGTAGGATTTCAATTCACTCTCTACGATTAGGAAATCTGTAGAATTTTTGGAATCTATCACTCTCTATAATTTGGAAATTTGTAGGATTTTTGGAATCGATCACTTTTAATAATTAGGAAATCTATTGGATTTATGGTATCGTTCACTCTCTATAATCTGGAATCATACCATGAAAGGATTGCATGTGATTGATTACACCTCCCGATTTAACGACCTCGCAAACCTTTGTCTATGATTGGTGAACCCATAATACAAAAAT